CACACAGACACGCACACAGACACGCACACGCACACTCACACGCACACGCACACGCACACGCACACGCACACGCACACGCACACGCACACGCACACGCACACGCACACGCACACGCACACGCTCACGCACACGCAAACGCACACGCACACGCACACGCACACGCACACGCACACGCACACGCACACGCACACGCACACGCACACGCACACGCACACGCACACGCACACGCACACGCACACGCACACGCACACGCACACGCACACGCACACGCACACGCACACGCACACGCACACGCACACACGCACACACACACACACACACACACACACACACACACACACACACACACACACGCACACTCACACACACCCACCCCAAACCTCTACCACCTGCCCCAACCTCTACCCTGAAGAATCCCTCCTACCTCCCCCTCCTTCCTACCTCCCATCCCTGCCCTGTTGCTGCCCCTGCCCTCCTGCTGCCCCTTCTCCTCCAGCCCCTCGCCCTCTGCGGCGCCACCCGAGGGGGGGGGGGGGGCGCCCGTGCGCTCCTGAGCGAGCAGGGGGTTGATCGCCATGGCAGGGAGGCCCCCAGAGGTCCGCAGGACGGAGCCTGCGGGCCTAAGACGGCGGCCGGCGGCAGCGGCGAGAGGAGGAGAGCAGGAGGAGGAGGAGGAGGACGAGGAGGAGGAGGAGGACGAGGAGGACGATGCGTAGGGGCATGGGAAGGAGGAGGGGGGTGGAGGAGGGGGTGGAGGAGGAGGAGGAGGAGGAGGAGGAGGAGGAGGAGGAGGAGGAGGAGGCGGAGGAGGAGGAGGAGGAGGAGGAAGGAGGAGAAGGATGAGGAGGAACAGGAGGACGAAAGTAAGGAGGAAGGAGGAAGGAGGAAGGAGGAAGGAGGAAGGAGGAAGGAGGAGGAGGAGGAGGAGGACGAGGGGGAGGGGGGGAGGGGAGGAGGAAGGAGGGGGATGAGGAGAGGGGGAGGTGTAGGAGGGGGAGGAGGAGATGGAAGCACTCGGCTGCACGTGCAAGGCGTGCCGTGTAGCACCTCCGCCCCCCGACCCCTAAACTCTCCCGCCCTTTCTTGCGTGGAGCCCTCGAGCCGTCCCCGCCCCCACCCCCTTCCCTGGGCAGGAGTGGGGGCTGCACGCGTGCATGCGCGCTGCTACATTCTGCGCGCGCGCGTCTGTCTGCTCGCCTCGCGCGCGTTGCTGCATTCTGCGCGCGCGCGTCTGCTCGCCTCGCGTCCGTTCGAAGCGTCTGCACACGTGCGCGTGCGCGGCCCACGCGCGCGCGCCAGGGCGTCGGCCGCGGACGCCCGCGGTCGGCACGAGTGGGCGTCCGCCGAGAGGCCCGCGCCCAGACCGCAGTGCGCCAGGAGGCGACAAGCGGGGGATTGACGACCCGTTCTGGACTCAACGCGGGGGATTGACGACCTGTTGCAACGAGGCGAGCATGTGTGTGTTCTCAGACGTTTGCGAGCAGGCACTTTGCGAGTAGTGGGACGCGCTCGGTGAAAGAGGAGGATGTGAGATGCCACAGGGCACTCTCTAGGAGTTCGTGCCGCAGCACGGCTGTGCACTCGGGCGGGGCGGCAAGGTGAACGCCCGTCATTGTTTCTGTGGCCCCTACTTCACGTGTGGGCGCCTCGGGCGATTCTGGTGGCGGTCATCGTAGTTGCAGGAGGCGGGGTTGGGGCGGGCGCCTCAGGCGAGCCCACACAAGGTCTGGCACTGCCCCTGCGACCCCTCCCGCAGATCCCCAGGCTATACTAAGGCATGCCCAACAACGCCCAAGGTCTCCTCGGTCCTCGATCCTCCACGATCCTCGACTTCCAGGAGGAGGCGGTGACCTCCCTGGTGCTCATCCCCGTTGGTACTCCCCGAGATCCCTCTTCCCCCGCTGCGCCCAATCCCCCTCCTTTCGCCGGGCTGGGGCGTCGACATCCGGCCCCGCATTGCTGCGGGCGAAAGCCACGCTCCACACTCGCGCTCCTGCGGCGCCATCATCCCGGAGGTAATCAGGGCCAGGTCTGTGGGACGGGACTCTCCCGTGAACCCTCTCGGAGGGACACCGCCTCCCCTCCTCCCCTCAGGGCCACCCGACTTCGGGCCCCGCGCGCCCCGTGGTGCGCGCGACCGCGGCGTGCGAAGCGCGACTACCTTCGCGCCTCCGCGGGCGACTTGCTTCCCCTGCATTCCGCATCCTCCTCGCTCCGTCCTCCTCATCCTCCTCCTCGATCCTCTGCCTCCTCCTCTTCCTACTCCTACTCCTCCTCCTTCTGTTCTTCCTCCTCCTCCTCCTCCTCCTCCTCCTCCTCCTTCTGTTCTTCCCCCTCCCTTCCTCACGAGTAGGCCATGATTGACAATTCTAACGGTTCTCTGGTGGTAGTTTGCGCAAGATGTGATTGTTTCACGTGTGGTGCCCCTCTTGGCGGAGCTCGGAGAGCAATGTACGGGACCTCGCATCGATAACGAGAAGGGCACGGACAGGCACAATCCAGATTGTTGGAGCAAGACTTGCATTGGCCTCCACCCCAGGGGGAAGGGAGCCACTTTGCTCATTGACACACACTCATACACAGGGCGTCCTCCCCCTTCGCTCGGGGAGACGTACGACTCGGGTTTGGGGGACTCGGGTTGGCCCGACAGGACCATCATCATGAAATTGACGAGGCCCAATTTGAAATTTGACGCGAGCTCCCGCTGCAAGCATCCCACGAAAACTGGACCATCAAAATCCAAGACGCGCTCGCCGAACGGCGTCGGCAAACCCGAGTTCCGGCGTACTCGAGTCTCACGTTGCCCCGAAACGTCTCCCTTCTCCTCTCTTCCCTCCCGAGCCCGCCGGAGAGTAAGGCGGAGGAGGGCGGGAGAGGGCAACACACGCCCACCTCCCCCCCTTCGTCACCCCCCCTCCTCTCCTCCCCCTACCCCCCTCCTCCTCCTCCTCCTCCTCCTCCATTTGTTGCCGGTTCCCTCCCAATGTAAAGAATGATGATCTCAAGTCTGTGATGCGGAAAGCTCGTTTTCGTCTGGCGCCTGGGGCTTCGGCGACCGCGTCGCCTCTTCAGACTGGCCTGAAAGAAAAAGGCAATGGCCCTCCCTCCTGCCAGCACGCGCGCGCCGGAGCACGGAAGAATTGGGCAAGGAAGGCGCTGCATGACTGCACCACTCCACTTCGAGGAGCCAGAGCCGGCCTTGCACGAGAAGAGCCAGCGCCAGACTCGCTCTCCCTCTCTCTCTCCCTATCGTTTTTGTTGGTTCTCTCTCCCCTCTCGTTTTTGTTGCTGTTCTCTCTCTCTCTGCCTCTCTCGATGGCAGTGGAGCTCTGTCCTGGGCGCCAGGAAGATGGCCGGTGCAAGCTGCCGTGGTGGGCATGAGAGAGCGGGCGGGCGGACCCTGACGGGCAAGGTGGGCGGACCCCAACAGGCGGGCCGCACAGGCACTGACAGAGGGCGGGCGGGCGCGACAAGAAAGCGGGCGGGTGGGCTGACTGCCAAGCAACCGAGCGAGCGGATCCTGACGGGCGGGTTGGGCGGCACACCCGGAAGTGTGGACCACATCGGGCGGGCGGAGCAGGTACTGAAAAAGGCGGGCGGGACATGCAGGCGGGCCAGACGGGCGGGCGCGGCATGAAAGCGGGCCGGCGGGCTGTCAACGAACGGGAGCGGGCGGACGCTGCCAGAAAGGCGGGCGAGCCCCAACGAACGAGTCGGGAAGGCGGGCCCGAACGTGCGGTCGCCACGGCTGGACGCAACTCGGCGGGCGGGCGCAGAACGGGGGTGAGGATCCTCCTCCTCGTCCTCCTACACCGCCTTTGCTTTTTTTGCTTTCTGGCCGTCGCGCCACCCCTCGTCGCCACGGCTGGACGCAACTCGAAAAGCTTGCTGGGACGGAATCTGGGAGAGGACAAGTATTGAGCGGACTGGAGTCGCGGGGTGGGCGAGGGGGGGGATTTCTCAGAGGGCAGGAGGCTTCCTGTCTTGGAAGGGTCTGGAGGCGTCCGAGAAGGCTGCACCGCAGGCAGGAAGGCTCCTCAGAAGCCGCCCTCCTCGCGCAGACCCCCCTGCGGTGCGCCGCCGAACGACGCTGCCGAAGATGCAGGCCACTCGGCACTGCGCGCCGCGCTGCCTGAGGCGAGGTCGGGAGTCTCGCGCTCTCGCGCCCGCCCCCCGCTCCTCTGAGAGCAATCGCATTCTGGCACACACCGCGGCGCGCGAAGCCAATCTATCTGGCGCCCACGACGGGTGACCCAGAGAACGGCCCACATGAATCCAGCAACATGGCATTCGCAAACACGATGAAGACAAACGCGAAAGGGACGAGAACGTGTGTATCTCAAAAGGACATGGACACGTGGCACTCCGATACATTCTCGATTTTAGAGGACCAAGCCCGTGCATTTATGCCACCAAGACTGCTCGGATCCTTCTCTGACGCTCTCGAAGTCAAGATCTGGACTGGGTGAACGAGGGGGAACGTTAGGGGGGAACCGGCTCAGGAGCGAGCATCGACTTTGAATCGGCGATGCATTGTAGATAGATCAGCGATTGGGCATGGTGGGCTATCAGGCCCCTGTCGGCAACGAATGGCCGATTTGTGATCGAGGCATCCCTCCATGAGCCTATCCCCCTTACTGTTGCCCATGGTGAGAAACGACATAAGCCACTCGATAAACTCTACCCGAATCAGCCGAACCGTCGCCAAGCCGCCGCCACTCATCCGGCGGTACGGCTGGCGAGGCGGGAGGCACGTGAGAGTGCCACGCGCAAAATGCGCTGGACAGAACGAAAGCAGGGCGCAAAGGGGCGCCGCGCGAGACGCGCAAGCAGCGAGAACCCTCGCTACACGCTAAACCAAAATATACTAAGACGTGGGCTGCCGGAAGAAGAAATCTACCATCAGCTGCGATGCGTCAACTGAAAACATCAGCTTCTGAGGCCACGCGTGGGTGCCTGGACGGGTGGTCACAAATCTGAACATATCGAAGTGAGGGTGCTGGGCATGGATAACACACACACACACACCCGAATGTGCCTAAACATGGCTCCAGCCACATCTTAGTACATACTCTGAGCGCGCGAGCATCGGAAACCTCACAATGGATCAGCCGCGGGCAATATCGACCGAGGCCAATACAAGTAGAACAGGCCTGCCCTCCCTCCGCCCCTTACCTCCCCCCCTCCCTCCCCCCCGCCAGACGTCAACGAAAATAGCGAGCCCCTGTCATCCGACCCTGTCCGCTCGTAGTGCCGCGCCAGGCCCCGACGAATAACAAGAACGATCACATCTCGGTTTCTCGAATCCTGGGCCCCGGAAGCAGGTCGAAAACGCCCGTCGTTGTTTTGCTCACGACGCCCCGTTATCCGAAACGCCAGGAGCCGCCGCCTACAGCCGGCCTCCTTAGACGCCAGGCCCTTCTTTTTGCTCGCGGTGCTGCCCCGGTGTGCAACGATAAGCTGCGTTCATAAAGGGGGGTAGAAAGGAGAGCGAGGGGAGAGGCGGGAGGACAGGAAGCAGGAAAGGAGAGGAGGAAAAGGAGGAACGAGGAGAGGAGGAAGGAGGAGAAAAGAGGAACTAGAAAAACAGGACGGAGAGAGGAGAAGCGGGAGGAACACAAGAGGAAGGAGAGAGGATCAAGGTAGGGAACGGGAGGTGGGGAGGAGGAGGGAAGAGACCAACCAGTTCCGGGGTTTTGCGTTATGTTCTGTCCCGCTGTTCTATTCACCCTCCTTTTTCTCCGCGCGCCTCCCCTGTAGCCCACATCCTCATACTCCACTCCTCTGGCCTCGTCCTCAGGGGAGACCGATCGAAAAGTGCCGACCAGCAATGGGGTTCCACCTGCTACGCACTGTCCCACAACTTCCTCCACCCCCACCCCACATCATCCACTACGTCTTCTTCCCCTTGTGTGGCACGTTAAGGGAAGCATGCGGTCGGGGGGGAAGAAAGCCGCCAAATCCACGCAGAAAGGAGCCGGAGGAGAGCAACCAGGGGAAGAGTGCTGAGGCCAGCGAAGGGTGCAAAGCGGAAGCGGGAGGCTGAGGGAGTAGTCTCGAGAGCACGCGCTAGCGATCTCGTGCAGCCAGGAATTCGTTCGGAGCTTGCTGCTTGTCCTGGATGGTCCTCTGATGGCCCAGGGGCCCGAGAGTGGCCCCGCGATGCAGAACACATGTCGATTGTGCCAGCGTGGGCCCCGCGCAGTGGGCTGACCTCACTGCACTCTGCATGTGTTGCGTGTGGGGTGCAGCGCACGTGGTGCAAAGTTTGGGGTGTAGAGCACCGGGGGAACGAAGACTGACACAGACATAAAAACTCGGAGGTCCGCGCGGATTTCTCGGATCTGCACTGGATCCCCCTGGCGGCGCCTCCGGCGCCGCCCCTGGCGCGCTCCGCGCCAAGGAGGGGGTCCAGCGCCGATCCGAGAAATCCACGCGGACCTCCGAATTATGTTTATGACATTCTTCGTTTCCCTAAGTATGTTGTGCACGCCACATGGTGCGATCTATCTGGATCAAACTATGTGGCGCAATCGACGCTGCAGAAATTGAAGTCGTCAATGCCATCGCTCGCGAAGTCGTCCCCACCCTCCCACCCTCCCACCTTGTTTTGCACGACCTGTGCGGCCACAACTGCGGTGACTGCTTGGCACTGGCTGGCCCGCACTGGCACGCGCAACCACGCGCACAGAATGACCAGCTGATTTGGAACAACCGCTGGAACGTCCCATGGCGTCTCAGAGGCCGAGCTGGCGCGCGGGCGCTTCCATTTGGGTCGGTGACTTGGGCAGGCGCGGCCTCATGATGACGTCGGCGATGCCGGCAACGCCGGTGATAGTAGCGATGGTGGTGGTGACGGCGCCGATGCCGGTGACGACGATGGCGATGATGGTGTTCATGCGCAGGTGATGGAGGCGATTCACTGGTGGTGACGGCAATGGCGGCGATTGACGAAGACGATAACGGCGGCGATGCGATGTGGCTGATGAGGGTGATGGTGAGGCAACGCGCGCGTGCAGAACACCTGCCAAATGTTTGACGAATACCTACACTGACTTGAACATGGAGACGTAATCCGTGTGCTTGGTATGGTTGGTTTCGACATGTAACTACGTGCGTGAGTGGATTTCGCAGAATGTGTTGCAATGGATTCTTGACGCATGACATGCTGAGGCTAACGACTGCGCGCATACTACTTTACAGGGATGACGAGGGGCGATGCCAGCCCGGCCGGGATGGCATCCGCTCAGTTCGGCAAGGGAACGATGAGGCAAGATCATCTGTGATCTGCGGTGTCCAAAGGGGGGGCGACATGGGCCCCGGCTCGGGAAGGGGGCTTGACCCTGCTGCTCTTGTCACAGGAGAGGCCCTCGTGCGCCCAGAAGCGTTGGCAGGCCCACGCGGCGGCCCGCGAGGCGCCCAGGGGCGGGCACCCGCCAGCAACAGCCAACACACCCGAGCACCGCACGGGACGCGCCCGCAGGGCGCCGACGGGCGAGCACCGGGCGAACCCCCGGAAAAACACCAGCCGGCGCACGCGGGGAGCCCCGAGAGGCGCTGGCGGGGGGCGCCCGGCGAACCCCTGGAGGAGCCAGCCGGCGCACGGGGCGCCCACGAAGAGTCCCCACGAGGCACCCACGGGGCGGAAGCCCGCAGATGCAGGCCAACAGCTTCTCCAAGAGAGCGATGTGCGAGACCCCGGTGCAAGCAGTGTTTCGGGAAATCGAGCTGGAACTGAACGAGTCGAAACTCGGAGGGGGCCTGCGGAGCACACTGAACCGCTGTGCCTTCAACTCGCGCGTGCTCGCGCCGACCCCTCCCCCTGGCCTGGAGACGTCCGCCAGAAGACCTCCCACATCTCGGGGGCGCCGTCCTGCTCGTACTTCCGGAGCTCCGCCGACACCACCGTGCCCGACAGCGGCAGCGGCTCCACCCAGACGGGCGCCCGCGACCCGCGCCGCCGCAGCGTCTCCACGGTCTGGCTGTACAGCTGCTCCCCGCCGTACTCGGCCAGCACGGGGTCGGCATGGTTCCAGACGAGCAGGCACGGCCGCCCCTCCCGCGCCAAGGACCACTGCTCGAGGTGCCCGACACCGGCCGACACGGCCGCCGAGGCAGCGAACAGGTCGGCGGCCTCGTTCTGTAGGAGCAGAGCCATGGTGCCACCTGCGGAGTGCCCGCTCACAAACACCCGGGCGGGGTCCAAGCCGAAATCGGAGGCCCGCAAGCGCTCCAGAAGCGCGGCGAAGAACGGAATGTCCTCCCTGTAGCCCCACTCGTCCGAGCCGGGCTGGCGCATCTCCGGGTAGACCACCAGGAAGCCCCACCGGTCCGCCAGCGGCTCAAGGCCGACCCCGAAGTAGTCGCTCGGCCTGCAGCCGCTGCCGTGCAGCACTACCACCGCTGGAAGCAGCGTGGCGTCCGCCCCCCTGGGCCGGTACACGTAGGCGCGGCGGCCGTCGACCTCTACTGGAGGAAGAGAGAACTGAGCAAACATAAACTATCAATGGTCCGCGCGGATTTCTTGGACATGCGCTGGACCCCCCCCCCGCGGCGCCTGCGGTGACGTCCCTGGCGCGCTCCGCGCGCCAGGGAGAAGGGCCCAGCGCAGATCCAAGAAATCCGCGCGGACCGTCAACAACTTATGGTATGCCGTTTTGTCTTCTTCGATCTACCACCGCGCGCCGTGCCGGAAGGGCGGCGAAAGCTGCAGTGGCGAGGGCAGAGGCGCCACGCCAGCCAATCTGCGACGCCGCGGCCCCTGCGCACGCCAACGCGGCCGCGGCTCCGAGGGACACGGCGGCGCACAACCACATGCGGGCTCAAGGGACGACCTGGGCTGGGCAACTCCTTCAGCCAATGGCGTACTTATCATGTGTCTGCGAACCGTGCGACGTACACAGCACGCGCCCCTGTGCTATAACCGGATGCCCGTAAGATAATTGTTGAGCCTTGCATAGCCAACACTTCTCATGCGGCTTTTGATGTAAGACGGATGCGTCCCATGTGTGCGATACATCGTGTGCGCAAGTGTACGCTGATGATTTACGTGGTGCGTGTGGCATGTACACATGTACACACGTGTGCATAAATCCGTGCGCTGCGCGCACTTGTACAGCAAGCCTGCTCCGTTCCCTCTTCCCTCGAATATTGAACCCTCCCCGTCTCGTCCTCCTCCTCCTCCTCCTCCTCATCCTGGATCTCCGTCACCTCGTCCTCCTCCGCAGCCCTCGTCCTCCCGAGCTGCCCCTCTCGGCGGCGCGCGAGGGGAGGAAGTGAGAAGGAGAAGGACCTCTCAGAAGGCGACGGGGCTTCTGAGAAACCCTCGCGCCGTCTGGTAATTTTTTGTAGGTTCGGGGAAGGCTTAGAACACTTCTCAAAAGGCTGGAGGACTTCCAGGCCTTCTGAAAAGGCCCGCCCCCCTCACTTCCCCCCCCCCCCGGGCTCGCCGACTTGCCCCTCCTCCTCCTCCTCCTCCTCCTCCTACTCTTGCTCCTCCTTCGGTGGAGGGGGGCTGCGCCGGGCCTGCTCCACGCTGAGGCCATCGAGGTTCGATGTGCCGACGCCCATGGCTGCAGCTAAGGCCCCCCCCCGTCTGCCTGGCCTGCATGGCGGCGATGGAGGAGCGAGTCGGCAAGAGCTGCCGCGAGAGCGAAAGAGTGGGACAGAAGCGAAACATACCAGGAAGCTGGAGCCATACGTGGCTGGATTCACATGTGGAACATCTGGGGACCACTTGCTGGAAACACATGTGGAGAATCAACGTGCCTTGCAACACGAGGGCCGACCTTTGGAAAAACATCTGGCCGCTTGTGCATCCAGCTCTCGACCAGGCCGGCCACGTCATGCGCATCCAACTTCCTGGTGCAAAAACAGAACACGACTTCATCATAAACTTTCGAAGTCCCCGCAGACTTCGAGCGCTGGCGCCAGAGGCGCCGCCAGGGGGAGTCAGCGCTCACATCCTAGATATTTACGCACGCACTTCCGAAACTGTATACTCAATGCTGCCGACATTATCCTCGATTAGAAGAAGGCGTTGTCTAAACATAGAGGGACAAGCAAGGCTGGCGACGAAAAGAAGAGGGAGATAATGCAAGAAGCAGCGCGCGACGCGGGCAAGAGAGACGGGGCTGCGGCACCCAAGAAAATACAAAGGAAGAGTGCTGCGCGTAGGCTGCACAGCGAGAAAGAAGAGAGAGAGAGAGAGAGAGACAAAACAAAACAAACATATATATAGTTATACATATAGAGAGAGCGATAACAAACAAATAACACAAACAACTCCACACACAATATACAAGATGACCACATATATATGGGTATATATATATATACATATATTCCTCTTCCCACACTTTTGAAAGTCTGGGAGGTGGGAACACCCCAAACAAAAACATATAAGCACGGATTCCTGGGATCTGGGGCTTTGGGGCCTCGTGGACGCCAATGGAAGAGGTCCTCCAGCCTCGTCGCGCCTCCCACGGCGCATTGCCAGGCCTTGCCCAACAGACCAAAAGCGATCCGAGAAGAGGTCAAAAAGACGCGGGAGAGCCCCAAAACAACCCAAGACGGCCTCAATACGGCCCCAAGGCCCCCAAGACGGCCCATGAGGCGTTCTTCAGGAGGGCCCTCAAGAGGCAAAGATCTTCCCAGTACAATTGGGAAAACGTGCATTTTCAGCTTCTTCGCACTTTGCGTCGTAGCAGCGTTCACGACGGCCCAAGACGCCTCCGAGATCGCCCCAAGAGGCCCCCAAGAGGGCTTCAAGGCAGCCCAGGAGGGCCCCAAGACTTCTCCAAGACAGACCGCAAAAAAAATTCACGAGGCCCCCGGACGCTCCCAAGCCGCAAGGGCCATGGGAGGTCCCCAGGAGGGCCCAAGAAGGCCCGCTGAGGGCCCCAATTCCGTAAAAAGGACCCAGGGCGGCCCAAGAGGGACCCAAAACGGCCCAGACGGGCTTCAAAAGGATTCGCGAGACAGCCCCGGGGCGCGCCCACGAGGCCTCCAGGGGCCCCCAAAAACCGTGGAGGGGAATCCGTGAGGCCCCCCAAACAACTCCAACGATGAGCCTCTGCAAAAGGACCCGCGGGGAATGGTTCGCAACGCCATGCGAGAGCAAAGATGAGTTCGAAAAAGATGCGGGACGGCAGCGCGATGCTATTATCCATTGCCATGCATTGAATGACTGGGGAAATTTGGCCACGAGCGAGTCCGTGTGATGGCCACGCGAAAGACCCTGAACATCATTCCAGTACATGGTCGTGCATCATCCAGAAGGCGGCTTCCTACGAAACGCACCGAATTGACCCGAATCCTGGGCCTACTAAGAAATCCAATGGACATCAAATCCGTGGCGAACCCGGTTGTCGGTGCATTCCCAACCCAAGGCGGCATTGTTTGGCAGTGTGTTGCTTTAGTTGATGCTCGATTTGAAAGTCATTCGCATGGTTTACCATTGCTTCGCATTGCGCACGAGGTATCTCCACGTCATTCGTGGGAACATGTTCTTCGAGTGTGTGTGTGTGTGTGTGGGTGTGCGTACCCATGCATCCGTAACCGTTGGCTTGAATCCTGTACGCTCCCGCATGCGCCACATCCTTTTGTGTCTGTCTTGGATTGTAGCGAAATCCTGTCTTTCGGGACCCTCCTGGTGGCGTCCTCGTCGCCACGTCATCGGATCCGCACCGAAATTCGTCCAAACGCACCCCGAGAGACATTCGGGTGGCACACGACCATGTAAATCGAGGGCGGGAACAAACAAGGAACGGGTGGGGAAAATGGAAAGGAAACCACCCAATTTCATAGGCCGAGAAGGATGACGCCCAGTGCCAACATATGCGGAGCTGAGAAAGACCAACGTGCGGCGTGGCGCAAAGCGCCAACGTACACCCGTATAGTTATACATCCTGCGTTTTTCCCCCCACGGATGGCCCACACACCCCGCCCCGGAAAATCCCGGGACCCCTCTCGGACGGCCTCCCCCTAGCCCGGGGCGCCCTTCGGACAGCCCCCCGGGCCTCCCCAGCTAGCCAGCCGCACTCCTCACGACGTTGCGGACGGCCCCAGTAGCCTCGCAGCGACCCCCAACGCGGATAAAAAGACCCGAGGACGGCCTCCAAATGGCCCCGAGACGGCCAAATGACGGCCCAACATCCTCCCAATCGGGCCCCAAGAGACGCCCAATAGGGCCGCGAGATGCAAAAATCGATAAACGCTTTCGGGTTTCTGATGAGGTTTAACGTATTCGTTTCTTCTGGCGTCCTATACACAACGAAGGCCCCACAAGCTTCCGAGATCGCCCCAAAACGGCCAAAACAACTTCCGAGACGGCTGAAGACTGCACCGACACGGCCCAAGACAGCCCAAGAAACTTCAGAGACGGCCCCAAAACGGCCCCGCAACCGTGCCCGCGGGCCCCGCTCCCATTCATGAGAAAGCCCGCCGGGGCCTTGACCTTGACCCACCACGTGGTCGTCGGATCGGTTCCCTGGTTGCCCAACCCGCGTGGTCGAGGTCATCGCCCCGCCGACGACCCATACAAATGTTCGGTGTAGGCCGCTTCCGGATCCCGAGGACCGGGACCGTCCGACGACGACTCGGGACGACAAGCTGGCCCAAGGCGATTGAACATGGGGCGGGGTCCGAGGTCTGGAGGCCAGCGACTCGACACGTCAAAATCTGCCAACACGCCCCTAACAGGGCAATGCGTCTTCCTGTCACTGTTGCCCGCCCTCTTCTTCCTCATCTCTGCCGTTGCGTCCGTCCCCACATCCCTTTCCCGCTCCATCATTTTGATCCTCCTCCTCCACCTGTCCCTCCTCCCTCTTCTCCACCTCCTCCTCCTCCTCCTCCCCCTCCTCCTCCTCCCCCTCCTCCCCCTCCTCCTCTCGTCGGCTTGGTCCTGCTCTTCCTGCGCCGCGCCCTCCCCTCCTCATCCTTCTCCCCTCCTCCTCTCCCCCCCTTCTCTTTCCGGGCGCCTCGCTGCAACGCGTTGTCCACGCAGTGGGCGAGGCGACGAGGGACAAAAACAATCGGATATCTGGAGGCCAGCGATTTGATCAACGCGAACCGTCGGGTGCGTGAGCAGTTCCGCAGATCCTGCATAAACCTCGTCATCCTCACTATCCACTATCGCGACCAAGACCCCAGTCACGGTTACCGCCCTCGCCCCTTCAAGATAATCACTGCAACCCCCCGTCCCCCGAAATCCCGACAGCCCCTTTGCGATCATGGTTTGAGTCCCCTACTCCAGCGATGCCATCAACCTGCACTAAGGTACGTTGTGGTTGTGACCCCTGTCGGATCGTGACCGTCACCCCCTTGCGCCCATCTCGCCGACGACTTTTCCAAACCATCGGCATCGTGACCCCGGCCCAGGCCCCGCTGGTCTATGACCTTCACCCCGTTGGCGGCCACGACGTACACCCCTGGTCGACCTCATAGTCGTCACCACAAGTGGGACAATGGCATACCCCGCAATCGAGCTCCTCACCTTCGCCCTCGTGGCAGCCCTGCCCTGCCCTCATTGCATGAACATGCTGCTGGGCTCTATCCAGCCAACAACCTGCACCCCCCGGTGGTCATGTTCATCCTGCACCGATGTGACCTTCGACAGACAACGGGGACGCTTGGACGGAGGACCAAGATTTGAGACGAAGCGAAGCGAGCCCTCATGACTTGTGGACATACATGAATCTATGTATTTACATGGATATTGACTTGGTTGTGCTTAACAGCGCCCTGAGCGTACTGCGTTGTTCTAGCGATTTCTGGCCCGTCGTTGTGGGTCCTCATGTTTTAGAAACGTGTTGAGCCTCCTTGCCAGGAACAGCTTCTTGTCTTTACTGCAAGCTTCGCCCACGCTCCCCTTTTCCTGCCGTTGTCCGTCCCTTCCGCTCCGCGCGCAGGTCGCAAATCTAGACACGCCCCACCAAAATCCGAACACCTGTGTAACACCGGCGCGGAACAGGCCTGAAGGCCCCACGACCAGCCAGAAGCGACGACCAGAGAAAATCAAAATGATTGCAGTACGGATATAGGGATGACTGGACGCAAACAGAAGAAACTGAGGACGTGGTAGACGGCAACGTGAAGCAGCGCAATCGACGGATCTGAAAACGCAAAACCGAAGCTCAAACGCAAAACTAATGAACAGGGTTAGAAGCGACAAAAAGACGCCCAGGGCAGATTTAAGAAGAGCAAAATATACATAAATATATACACACCCGCGCACACTGAGAAAGAGAGAGAGAGAGACAGAAAAAAAGGAGAGAGAGAGAGACATATAAAAAAGAAAGAAAGAGAGACATAGAGGGAGAGAGAGAGAGAGAGAGATATAGAGCAAGAGAGAAAAAGACACAGAAAGAGAAAAAGGGAGGGAGGGAGGGAGGGACAGGGAGGGGAGGTCGAGTGGACTCGGACGTCTGACGGGTTCGGAGGGGATCCCTGCTGATGCCCTCCCGTCCCCTGTAGAGATCAGACGCCACTGTCTTTCCGGTCCACGGCGGAACCAGGTCCAGAAAGTGTGCCCGCTGAGTGACTGACTGAATGGCTGGCTGACCAACCAG